AGCATTGTTTAAGTATATGTATGGCCTATACATCCTTAAGGGACACAATCCTACAAAAAGTAGGATAGTGATTTGCTTTTTACTTCTTAACTCGGTGGCAATACATTCCACAGGTCAAAAATTGCAAACTTTTTCGTGTGTCATGAAGTCCCAAAAAGCTACCACTCTTCATAAATTTCGTATAAAATTATTCGCATTAATTATCAACTATGAATATTTTGTTTCGTTTGCAATGATTGTCGAATATAATTCCTCAATCATTTTAGAAACATGAACCGTCATGTAACGTTCTGGTTCACGAAAGACCAGCCGATATTCGAGAACACCGACGACATGGCTGATACTAGGATAGACGTAGCCAGAATCCCAGCGGGTTCCGACACTCCACCATGTCTAAAAATCTCCCATAATACATTTGAAACGATGGAAAAAGCGAACTGGGAATTCCTTCGATTATCTCTGCCTGTTATTTGCCAATCGACTTTCGTCTCGGAGAGCGAGAAGCTCAGGAGGTGGCAGGAGATAAAAATGCGTCAGAACAAACTCTTATATGAACAGATGGAGCAAGCTCAGCCAACTGTGCCGTCGGCTCATATGGAGCAGATCATGAAATCTGGCTTCAGCATGAGCGATATCAAAGGTACGATTTTTCGAAAGAACTTCAATTTATTTTAAAATACGTATCGTTACGTTAAATGGAATTTTATACTAGGATTGCAAAGAAATTATTCGGAAGACGCTGTGGAGGCTGACGAGATGATGAAAGAATCGCCGCTTCCTATGCAAAGGAACAAGCCAGCTAGACCTCCGAGGAAGGGAGGATCCGTATATGGATCGAGGGGTGGGAACATGGACAACGCGATTAGCGAGGCTGATATGAATGGCTATGTCGATATGAACGGGGATGTTAAGGATGACAAGAAGAAGCGAGGGCGTTCACCGTTCCGGTTAGTACAACAATCATAAGTAACATGTAAAAAAATGGGTTTTGACATTTGAATATTCTTAGCAAACTTAGCAAAGAGATGGAGGATGTCCCGTAAGTTTACGCAAAGCTAATTTTTCAAATTGAATCTTAAATTCATGTTTTATTTAATTTTAATGTTAAATCGAATTAAAGGAAATCGACGAAAATGATTTTGATTAAATCGACAGGTTCTTCTCGCGCAAGGCGAAGTCTCCGGATGCGAAATCAAAGACGCCCGAACCACCTGTGCGGTCTGACGTCTCCGACAAAAGTACCAAGACCCTGCCGATGAACAAAGCAAGTAGCCGGATTCCCCAAGTTCGCATATCAAACGTAAAACCATTTATTTATATTTATTTATGTCGTCCGTTTGCGTGCTTCAATTTCAACATTCTCGTTCCTCGACTTATTATAAAATAACGTATTTCACTATAGACGGATTTGAAAGTGGTACCACCTCAAATCCCGGAGCGCAATGCACCCAAAGCTATGTCAGTTTTAAGTGGAAGCGGAGTCGAATCGATTGGGAATGAAATATTCGATGCAGATTGCTTGAAACTGATGAATGAATACTTTTATGGTGTGAGAATCTTCCCTGGACAGGATCCAACACACGTTTATGTGGGCTGGGTCACGTCTCAGTATCATTTGCACACGAAGGACTTTAATTTGTCTCGTGTGAGAAAGGGTTCTGTGGTTATCACTGATGATTATGATCGTCCCATAGAACAGTAAGTTCGTTTACTATTTGATTTATGCATCCAATGATTTTTCTTATCAAATATACAATTGTCTATCGAATATCAAATCTGATAAACAAAACTGTCTGTATAATCTACGATCCTTTTATAAGTATAGTGACGCGCTACAATATGAAAAATAAACTTTTTTTGCAGAGTCGACAGACAGAGTTGTATCATGGTCAGAGCCGACGAACTGTACAACGAAGTAACTCAAGACGCGTCAGGAAAGGGTGCATCCCAAGGGATGTTCGTGGGCTGTTTCGTGGATACAGCAACTGGTTGGGTGTCCTTCACCTGCGAGGGCAAGGAAACTAGCCACAAGTTCAAGATGGAACCCGATACAAAATTATTCCCAGCCATATTCGTCGAAGCTACCAGCAAAGAGATACTTCAAATCGAATTAGGAAGAACTTCTACAACATTGCCGTTGTCTGCTGCTGTTTTACAAAATTCAGAGCGTCATGTGATACCACAGTTTCCGCCTAGATTGAAGGTTCAATGTTTAAAGCCTCATCAATGGGCGAGGGTTCCTAATCAATCACTACAAGTGCATGCTTTGAAATTGTCTGATATCAGAGGCTGGTCCATGCTCTGCGAGGATGCTATATCGATGCTAGCCTTGCATATTCCTGAAGAAGATCGATGCATCGATATCTTGGAGCTTATCGAAATGGACAAACTCCTCAGGTAAAATTTATCAATCAAATCCATTAGTAAAAGCGTTTCAGGTAAGATAAATTAATGTGAAACCTGTTTAATGGTTGCAGTTTCCACGCACACACGTTAACACTGTATGCAGCCCTGTGCTACCAGTCGAATTACAGAGCCGCACATGCTCTATGCCAACACGTTGATCAGAAACAATTACTATATGCTATTCGAGCGGAATACATGTCTGGGCCCCTACGACAAGGATTCTACGATTTGCTGATCGCATTACATCTCGAATCGCACGCGACCACGATGGAAGTGTGCAAAAACGAGTACATAATTCCTTTAGGTAACTCTACTTTGCAATATTCGCAATCTCTTCAATTTGAATATAAAATAAGAACAATATGTATTTATATATTTTACTCTCAGGTCAAGGATTGAAGGATCTTTACGAAAACGAAGAAATGAAGCACAGTCTCAGATACTTAGAGACCGAGTCCGTTCGTCCGCAGATGAAGATGACAGACATCAGGTAAGTGCACTTTAATCGAAGTTTATATTTGAAACCCATGACTAATGGTCGACATCAAGGGATATTCCTTCTAGTGACCAGACGATCGAGAACATAAGGAGCCTCTACAGTCCTCATTTCCCGCTGGACGTTGTACGGGACTATGTGATGACGGCTTTGAACGAAGCCGTCGAGGTGAATCAAGTGCACAATCGAGACCCCATTGGCGGCAGCAATGAAAACCTGTTCTTGTATGTAGTAACATGAATACGTGCACGCCAGGCCTTAATCTGCATATTTAACATCATCGTCGTCGATGGAGCAGCTTTCAAGATAACTCTTGCTTACCGCTGCTGGCTATCATTCGTGCCTTTTTCTCTCGTTTACATCATATTCGTTGATTTCAGGCCACTTTTGAAGCTCGTGGACAGGTTGCTGTTGGTAGGGATGCTCCGAAACGAAGATATCATGAAGCTTCTTATCATGATTCATCCTGAGACTTGGGATCCGACCTTTGATAAAGGCAATTATTTGATAATAATTACCAATGATTCTATACGACAATTTGTTATAATATACAAATTACAGAAGGCAAAGACGAGCACAAGAAGGGACTTCTTCATATGAAAATGGCTGAGGGAGCAAAACTACAGATGTGTTATCTTCTACATCATCTAAACGATATTCAACTTCGACATCGAGTGGAATCCATCATATCTTTCAGCCACGACTTCGTTGGTGACTTACAGTCGGATCAGCTTCGTCGTTACATTGAAATCAAACAGTCTGACTTGCCATCGGCAGTGGCGGCGAAGAAAACGAGAGAGTTCAGATGTCCACCTCGTGAACAGATGAACGCAATTCTAAGCTTCAAGAATGTTGACTATGCTGACGATCCTGACAATATTCCTTGTGGAGAGGATCTGATAAGTCGGATGAACGATTTTCATAACAATCTCATGTCGTACGTGTCCTTGCACGCGCTTCAGGAAGCCGCCGACGCTGAAAACGAGCCAGCAGAGGAAGTGCAGAAGCCTGGTCCAATTAAAAGACTGTTTAACTTTATTAATGCAGTAAAAGAGTTAGAGGAAGAACCTAAACCGGAGCTTGAACCGGAGAGGAAGACTCCTGAAGGTAAAAATTGCCTTGAAAATATTATCTAACAAGAGTAGCCAATTTCATTTTTCTTTTACAGAGGTGTTCCGGAAGGTGCTTATAAAAACAATCGTCAGCTGGGCTGAGGAATCCCAAATCGAGACTCCAAAACTAGTCCGAGAAATGTTCAGTTTACTGGTTCGCCAATACGACACCGTAGGCGAGCTAATCAGAGCATTAGAAAAAACCTATGTAACTAACAGCAAGACAAGGGACGACGTTGCTTTAATGTGGGTCGGTCTCAGTCAAATCCGAGCCTTGCTGCCCGTACAGATGTCTCAAGAAGAAGAAGAACTCGTGAGAGAACGATTATGGAAACTGGTGAACAATCATACATTCTTCCAGCATCCAGATTTGATTAGAGTACTGAGAATTCATGAAAACGTCATGGCGATCATGATAAACACGCTGGGTAGACGATCTCAGGCTCAATCTGATGCTCAAACTCAGCCTCAAACTACTGAAGGAGAGCCAGTTTCTAAAGAAAAGGACACATCTCACGAGATGGTGGTGGCTTGCTGTAGATTCCTTTGCTATTTCTGTCGGACTTCCAGACAAAATCAAAAGGCGATGTTCGATCATTTCGATTTTCTATTGGAGAACAGCAACATTTTGTTGTCGAGGCCATCGTTGAGAGGCTCAACGCCATTGGACGTGGCCTATTCTTCTCTTATGGAGAACACGGAGCTCGCTTTAGCTCTCAGAGAGCATTATCTCGAGAAGATAGCTATCTACCTATCTCGCTGTGGATTGCAATCTAACTCAGAGTTGGTGGAGAAAGGCTACCCTGATTTAGGATGGGATCCAGTGGAAGGTGAACGATACTTGGACTTCCTGCGGTTCTGTGTCTGGGTTAACGGTGAGTTTCACCATCACTTTTTATTTAATCCAATTTCGTTATAACTCAGATATAGAATTTGCATATGAAGCGATTGATTTAATCTTATAGGTGAAAGTGTGGAAGAGAACGCAAACTTGGTGATACGTTTACTAATCAGGAGACCAGAGTGTTTAGGACCGGCTCTTCGCGGTGAGGGCGAAGGTTTGCTGAGGGCAATTATAGACGCTAATAAAATGTCTGAACGGATCGCTGATAGAAGGAAAGTACACGATGAGGCTGAGGGTACAACCGTGATGCAGTTCGAGCATCCTTTGCCCGAATCAGATGACGATGAAGATTACATAGACACAGGCGCAGCTATTTTGAACTTCTACTGCACTCTGGTAGACCTATTAGGTCGTTGCGCTCCTGATTCTTCTGTTATAGAGCAAGGTGGGTCAAACAAGAATCCATGTATCATCAGTTTCGTGATGATGACACAACACTTCATTATTTGAGTTGAAAAAATCTTTTATACTCGATCTATGGTCTATTCTATCACGAACTCCTTTACTCTTTTATTTAATGACACTTTTTCTGATTATTTTCCGAGCAACAGAGGCTTCTACAGAATCCGTTGGTAATATTTTCACAACAAAACATTATTTTCTTTATTCACCATCATTAAAATATTCCAAATTCCAACGAGAATCATTTCAGGGAAGAACGAATCTCTTCGAGCGAGAGCCATTCTGCGGTCTCTAGTACCTCTCGACGATCTGCAAGGCGTACTATCTTTGAGATTTACGTTGCTTAATCCAGCAGCGGGTGAAGAGAAACCGAAAAGCGACATGCCTTCTGGCTTAATTCCTGGACACAAGCAAAGCATAGTCTTGTTTCTGGAACGCGTTTACGGTATCGAGACGCAGGAATTGTTCTTCAAAATACTTGAGGAAGCTTTCTTGCCTGACCTGAGGGCCGCTACCATGTTGGACAGGGTAAGCAGAACCAATCCAGATTGCATTTCCAATACAAAATTGTATACTAAAGAATTGACATAATCTTGAATCGGTCGTATAGAACGATGGATACGAGTCAGATATGGCGCTGGCGATGAACCGTTACATAGGAAACAGTATTCTACCTTTATTAATCAAGCATTCCAAGTTCTACAACGAGGCGGACAATTATGCAAGTTTATTAGATGCCACGTTGCACACCGTGTACCGATTAAGTAAGAACCGGATGCTGACCAAAGGGCAACGTGAAGCAGTGTCGGACTTCCTCGTGGCGTTGACCAGGTAAGCAAATTCTTTCCGAAACCCGGATTAAGTGATTAACGGAACCGTTTTGTTGCTTAACAAGAGAAGTCCACGAGTTAAACGTATCGTAAGTTCTATTAATATTATTCTAAATTGCTAATCCGCCTTCCCAATTCGTAAGAACGTTTAGGGTAAACGCGCTTATAGTATCCACCAATCAATTATTTTTCATTTACGCTTACAGAAAGATGATTATTGTTTTCTTTTTCTTTTAGTCAAATGCAACCCAGTATGCTGTTGAAACTGCTTCGAAAATTAACTGTCGACGTGTCCAAATTATCTGAGTACACCACGGTCGCTTTAAGAGTAAGTACACTCGTTACAAAATGCAATGAGCGCAAATTAAATGATTATATCAATTATATTATTAATCATATTAATTTTAATTAATTTTGTAACAGTTGTTAACTTTGCATTATGAACGCTGTGCGAAATATTACGGTTCTACCGGAGGCCAAGGCGCATACGGTGCGTCGAGCGATGAAGAGAAACGCTTGACAATGGTTCTCTTCAGTAACATATTCGATTCGTTATCCAAAATGGATTACGATCCGGAATTGTTCGGGAAAGCTCTGCCATGTCTCACGGCTATCGGTTGCGCGTTACCACCTGATTATTCGTTATCGAAAAATTATGACGATGAATGGTACGGAAGCAAATCTGCATCTGCACAGTCACCTGATGGACCGTATAATCCTCAGCCCATCAACACCTCCAGGTATTACTTAATACCTTTTTAATAAGAATGTTTTAATAATTTTTTAATGTTCTAAAGAAAATTGAGGAATGGAGTGCACATGACAAACATTAAATTATATATTTAATTTTCGATAGTGTGGTGCTCAATAACGATCTCAACCAGATAGTTCAAAAGTTCTCTGAGCATTATCACGATGCCTGGGCCAGTAGAAAATTAGAAAACGGTTGGACTTTCGGTGAACAATGGTCTGACGCGAATAAAAATCATCCAAGATTGAAACCTTACAACATGTTGAACGATTACGAGAGGGAACGGTACAAAGAGCCTGTTAGAGAGAGCTTGAAAGCTCTATTGGCTATAGGATGGAGCGTCGAACACGCAGAAGTAGATGTACCATCCACTAATCGTAGTTCCATGAGGAGATCATCAAAAAGTCAAGTAAATAAAAATTCTGAATTCTGTCTCCTAATTTTAGGAATTTGTTAAAAATAATTTGAATGTGCAAAAAACACGAACTGCATATTTACATAAAAATTCTGCTACAATTTTAATGATTGTTTAGGGTGATTCAGCGAATCCGTTCAACTACAACCCTCACCCAGTGGATATGACGAACTTGACTCTGAGCAGGGAAATGCAGAACATGGCAGAACGTCTTGCAGACAATGCGCACGATATTTGGGCGAAGAAGAAGAAAGAAGAACTCATTACTTGTGGTACGTACCACTGATTTATAATAAATATATGTATGTATATATGTAAATATATATTCATAAATATAATTAATTAGTGATTGAATGTTGGAACGTTAATATCTATCGCAGGAGGAGGTATCCACCCCCAGCTGGTCCCATACGATCTCCTGACTGATAAAGAGAAACGAAAAGACCGTGAACGTTCTCAGGAGTTCCTCAAGTATTTACAGTACCAAGGTTACAAGCTCCACAAGCCTAATCGCGGAGGAGAATCTGAAGTTGCAACTGCTGGAGCATCAGTAGAACTACGATTCGCTTATTCGTTGCTAGAGAAGTTGATAGCATATTTAGATAAGGCCACTATCAACATGAAATTGTTAAAACCGTCTGATACCTTCAGTAGACGAAACAGTTTTAAAACATCTACTAGAGATATCAAATTCTTTAGCAAAGTCGTTCTACCATTGATGGAGAAGTACTTTAGTACTCATAAAAATTATTTCATCGCCGTTGCAACAGCTACGAATAATGTTGGAGCTGCGTCTTTAAAAGAAAAGGAGATGGTAGCAGCTCTGTTTTGCAAATTGGCTAGTTTATTAAGATCCAGACTCGCCGCCTTTGGTCCAGACGTGAGGATCACCGTTCGTTGCCTTCAAGTATTAGTAAAAGGCATAGACGCGAAGAGTTTGGTGAAGAATTGTCCGGAATTTATTAGAACGTCCATGTTGACGTTCTTTAATAATACAGCAGATGATTTGGGACATACGATATTGAATCTTCAAGAAGGGAAATACAGTCATCTCAGAGGAACACATTTGAAGACTTCTACATCCTTGTCTTATATCAATAGTGTTGTTCTACCTGTACTCACGGCTATGTTCGATCATTTAGCTGCCTGCGAGTATGGAAGCGATTTATTATGTAAGTAAACTAAAAAATGAATTATAATTGCAATTTTGGTATTAAATTAATTTGATTGATTTATTTTTTAAACAGTGGATGAAATTCAGGTAGCATCGTACAAAATGCTCGCGTCTCTCTATACTCTCGGCGTGGATTCTTCTCTGACACACGATAGAAAGTACTTGAAGACAGAAATTGAACGCAATAAACCAAACCTAGGTTCCTGTTTAGGAGCATTCTCCAGTTGTTTCCCCGTGGCTTTCCTAGAGCCGCATCTGAACAAACACAATCCATTCTCCCTATTAAACAGAATAGCAGATCACTCTTTAGAAGCGCAGGATATCATGGCTAAAATGGAATCGAGCATGCCGACTCTTGAAACAATTTTGAACGAAGTGGACCAATTCGTCGAGTCTGATAAAACTTACAACGACATTCCACACGTGGTCGACATTATCCTTCCTCTACTTTGCTCCTACTTGCCATTTTGGTGGGCCCAAGGACCAGACAACGTAAATCCGACCGAAGGAACGTACGTCAGCATGGTCACCAGCGATCATATGAATCAATTATTAAAGAATGTGTTAAAATTGATTAAGAAGAACATTGGTAACGAGAATGCTCCTTGGATGACTCGAATCGCGGCTTACACTCAACAAATCATCATCAATTCGTCCGAGGAATTATTAAAAGATCCGTTCTTGCCACTTGCTGAACGAGTCAGAAAGCGTACTGACAATATGTTCCATAAAGAAGAATCTCTTCGCGGTTTTATTAAATCATCCACTGACGACACGTCGCAAGTCGAGGCGCAGATTCAAGAAGATTGGCAGCTCCTCGTCCGAGATATCTATTCGTTCTATCCGCTTTTAATCAAATACGTCGATTTGCAAAGGAATCACTGGTTGAGAAATAATATCCCGGAGGCTGAAGATCTTTACAATCACGTTGCTGCGATTTTCAATATCTGGTCCAAGTCACAATATTTCTTACGGGAGGAACAGAACTTCATATCAGCGAATGAGATTGATAATATGGTACTGATTATGCCAACAGCCACTAGAAGACCCGCTGCCATTTCTGATGGGACGACACCTTCCGGTGGAGGCAAGGTTCGTATCATAAGAAATTTTATTTCGCATAAAGATTTGCATTCTAATCACAATATATATTATAAAAAATTATTTTGCATATAATTCATAAAATGATTAACAGAAAAAGAAGAAACATCGTGATAAGAAGAGGGATAAAGATAAAGAAGTACAGGCTTCGTTAATGGTAGCTTGTCTGAAGAGACTGCTACCCGTTGGTCTGAACTTATTCGCTGGCCGTGAACAAGAACTGGTGCAACATTGCAAGGACAGGTTCCTGAAGAAGATGCCAGAGTACGAAATCGCAGAATTCGCTAAGACCCAGTTGACGTTACCTGATAAGATCGATCCAGCTGACGAGATGTCGTGGCAACATTATCTCTACTCTAAGTTAGGGCAACAGAAAGATACGATGGAACCGGTGAAAGCGCAGCAATTGGAAGACGTGGTTGCGAGAATTACTGACATGGCTAAAGTACTTTACGGTTTACACATGGTGAGTGAAGAGCTGTTTTGAAATATTTAAAGCCATCTTCCATAATACCCGAATCGTTTTTGTTGGAAGCATCTATGCCTATTTATTTGTTATATATCTCTGTTCATTTATATTTCATGTTCTCGAGTAGATAGATCATCCGCAACAGCAGAGCAAGGGTCAGTATCGATCCGTGGTGTCGATCCAACGTAAACGAGCTGTGATCGCTTGTTTCCGTCAAATTTCCCTACATTCCCTGCCCAGGTATCCTATTTTAGTTTGATACTGGTGTTGCGTGACTTCTGTCACTCTTTTCCGCTAATTACTAATAAAAAGCAACCATTTGTCTCTCTGGATTTTTTAATACGTTATCATTAAACGAACCAATGAACCTTGTGTTACCACGAAGATTGTTTAATTCTGATTAACTCTTGATAACGTTTGTTGCAATTATTTGTTAGTTGATCTAACGACTGTAGTTGTGTGTGCATGCTGCTAAAAGGCAACGAAACCGCCACCATCTCGGGATGGCTGGAAGCGTGTGTTGTGCGCAGCAAGAAAGAGGGCAGCGATCGCATGTCTACGTAGCGAACCGCTTTATAAATTACGAAGGTAAAGCGATCGCTTAACGTCCCTCCGATTTCTTATAAATGATTACAAATATCCAAGCAATTGTCAATGTTTTATCACAGGCATCGGGCTATAAATATATTCGCGCGGACGTACTACGAGCTCTGGTTGCAGGATGAGAATGTCGGCCAAGAAGTGATGATTGAAGATCTTACGGTAATCATATAAATCTCGAAAAAAAATTCACGCATTTAATTCGTTTCATATATAATTCATTTGCTTCTTTTTAAAGCAATCTTTCGAGGACGCGGAATTGAAGAAAATGGATAAAGACGAAGACGAAAGCAAACCAGACCCTCTCACACAATTGGTAACGACGTTCTGTCGCGGCGCAATGACGGAACGATCCGGTGCTCTTCAGGAAGATCCTTTGTACATGAGCTATGCTCAAATTATATCAAAATCTTGCGGTGAGGAGGAAGAAGAAGGCGAAGACGAAGGCGGAGGGGGTGAAGAAGAAGCCGCTGCCTCCATCCATGTAAATACTTTTTTATTAATATTTAACTGAGGCTTTTAGCAAACAAGGTCTATCAAAAGTTTAGTATGCGAATTGCAAAAATATGGAAGATTAACTAATGTGCTTGAAACTTATTAACAATTTCGTGTCTTTTCCTCACGTACTAACTATAGAAGCGAAGTCATAAGCCACTTATGGTAAGAACCAAGCAATTCAACCGCTTCCACATATGTATAGTCCAATCGTTCGAGTTTAAAAATCCAAATCTATCATTGTAATAATGATACGAGCATGATATGAGCAAAATAGATCAGCTCATTGCAAATTTCGTTCATCGTAGGACCTAGTTCACTCAATTAATTGAAAATATGCCTGCATCAAAGGTGGACTCCCTAATCACTGTATACAATCAATTTTCCCATTGTATTCCCCTTGACAGTAATTACAACTTCACTGAATGCTATAAATTTATTACTAATTATAACATTAGTAACAAATTCTATAATTTCTTTTAATGCTTCCTAAAGCGACCGATGCACAAACTCATGGTAAGATTATTATGCAGTCCATTATTAAACAATCCTACATATATTTATAATACAAATATTAGCAATACATATTATATATAAATATCTTTAAATATTTATAACATCAAAATCGACTTGGAATTCTTTGTTTAGGAACAAGAAATGGAAAAGCAGAAACTTCTGTTCCACCAAGCGAGACTTGCAAATCGTGGCGTGGCAGAGATGGTGTTGCTTCACATCTCAGCATGCAAGGGTCTCCCCAGTGAAATGGTGATGAAGACTCTAGAATTGGGAATTTCAATTCTACGCGGTGGCAACATAGAAATTCAACGAGGAATGTTGAACCACTTGAAGGAGAAGAAGGACGTAGGCTTCTTCACTTCGATTGCTGGCCTGATGAACTCTTGCAGTGTATTAGATTTGGACGCGTTCGAGAGGAATACCAAAGCTGAAGGTCTTGGGGTTGGTTCTGAGGGTGCAGCTGGAGAGAAGAACATGCACGATGCCGAGTTCACCTGCGCTTTGTTCAGGTTCATTCAACTGACTTGCGAGGGTCACAATCTCGGTACGCTTCGTTATTCNCAAGCTGGTAACACGACAACAGTGAACGTGGTCATATGCACCGTCGATTATTTACTACGACTGCAAGAATCTATTATGGATTTCTACTGGCATTACTCTAGCAAAGAACTGATCGATCCTGCCGGCAAGGCTAATTTCTTCAAAGCTATAGGCGTGGCCAGTCAAGTGTTCAACACTCTGACTGAAGTGATTCAAGGACCCTGCGCCCAGAACCAACAAGCATTGGCCCACTCCCGATTGTGGGACGCTGTCGGTGGATTCCTCTTCCTGTTCTCCCATATGCAGGACAAGTTGTCCAAACACTCGAGTCAAGTGGATCTTCTGAAGGAGCTGTTGAACTTGCAGAAGGACATGATAACTATGATGTTGTCTATGCTTGAAGGTACTTTCGTTCTGTTGAATTTATTTATTGTAACAGATTCTTGATGATCTCCATTTATTGCAGGTAACGTCGTGAATGGAACCATTGGCAAACAGATGGTGGACACGTTAGTGGAATCTGCCGGAAACGTCGAGTTGATTCTCAAGTACTTCGACATGTTTTTGAAACTGAAGGATCTCGTGTCTTCGCCTAGCTTTTTAGAAGTGGATCTCAACAGCGATGGCTGGGTTTATCCGAAGGACTTCAAAGAGAAGATGGAACAGCAGAAGAGTTACACCGAGTAAATATTTTTTTAATTATTCATATACCAAAGTAATTAGAATAAATTATAAGAAAATTATTGCAGCGAGGAAATCGAATTCCTATTGGCCTGTTGCGAAACGAACCACGATGGAAAAATCAATTACGTGGCTTTCATGGACCGATTCCACGAGCCAGCTAAAGAAATCGGTTTCAATCTTGCTGTGTTGCTAACTAATCTATCGGAACACATGCCAAACGAACCGAGACTGGCCAGATTTTTAGAAACAGCTGGGTCTGTGTTAAATTACTTTGAACCGTATCTGGGCAGGATAGAAATTCTTGGTGGTAACAAGAAAATAGAACGTGTGTATTTCGAAATCAAGGAATCTAATATTGAACAATGGGAAAAACCGCAAATTAAAGAGTCGAAGAGAACTTATTTCTACAACACCGTGGTGGAAGCTGGAGAAAAAGAGAAATTGGAAACATTCATAAACTTCTGCGAAGATGCTATTTTTGAAATGCAACACGCGAGCGCGTTAATGGCGGTAGAAGAGAGTGGAGGAATCGGCAAAGCCAGAGAATCCTCATATACTTATATGACTGAGGACGATGAAGAAAGGAACAAAGATCCCATTAGAAGAAGCATTCAAACGTGTAAAGATAGCATTTACTTCTTCTTTTCGATATTTTCTCCTAGCAACATTAAACATAAAATAGCAGAGATGCAACAGATGACGTTCTTGGAAATATTCATTTGCTTCTTCAAAATGATATTCTACGCGTTCTATTATTCTGGATTTGGCTGTGGTTGCGTTATCGGATACTTTATGAAGCTACTGTTAGCATTAATGAGAGGACCGCATGTAGAGGAACCTGTGGTTGAGGTCAAGGAAGAGGAGGAGAAGCCATCAAGGCATTTACCTGCTTTACCTCCAACACCAGATGAGTCAAATCTACAGGTAAGTTCAGTGATAATTAAGCTACAAGATGCAGTTATAAAAAAACAATAAAAATATAGAATATCAAACATGAATACACATTGCAATATTTAAATAGTAGAAAATATCTCACTTTTAACTGTTTGCTGTTAACTGCACACAAATCCTCAGTCTTGATACAAAAATTGTGAAAAAGGAGACTAAAATCTATTTTTTTTTATAGGTGCAAGCGTTCGGAATGGATATAACGAAAGAAGAAGGTGGGCAAATAAAGATAGCGCCGCACGAATCTGCGACTTCCACTCCGCAGTCAAGTATTGATCAAGAAACGGGTGAGAGCACACCGGAAGAAATGACTGGAGAGGAAGGTGCAAGGGCCGAAGGTGGCGGAGATACAGAACCACCTGTCTCCTTGGTCGACTTATTGGGGTACAAAAAATTGGAATTGAAATTTCTACTTCTACTGTGGAATCTTAATGTTCTATTTTTTTAATAGTGGTGAGCAGGCGAGGGCTCAGGCAGCAGCCGCAGCGGAAGCTGCAGCTGCCCAACAAGCGGCCATGGCAGCGGTCGAAGCTGAAGCGAAACAGGAAACAACGGCAGAACCATCAGGATCTTCTATCGATTTCTCTGAATACACTCATCGCATCGTCTCTTTCTTAGCTAGGAATTTCTACAATTTAAAATACGTGGCTCTGGTTCTCGCGTTCTGCATCAATTTCATGTTGTTGTTTTATAAGGCAAGCACTTTATTTTCTTTTTAAAAATTTGAAAAGGAATTCATTACGAATTGACATTACAGGTTTCGTCTTTGGGTGATGATGGTGAAGAAGAAGGCAGTGGTCAAATAGTTGACATGCTGGCGGAGATGTCTGGTGAGGGTGAATCTGGTTCTGGCAACGGTAGTGGTGTGGAATTAGGAAGTGGGAGTGGAGAGGTAGAATCTGAAGAAGAGGAAGATGCATACGCCTTGGAATACGTAGAAGTGTCAGAGGATTTCTACTACATGGCACACGTTATCAGGCTCATGGCTATGCTCCATGCAATGGTATCTCTCGCTATGCTAGTCGCCTACTATCACTTAAAGGTACGAAAATAAAATCCCACAGTCATAAAACGAAATTCTACGTCCCACAAAAATTAATACATATATTACAATTCAGGTACCATTGGCTATCTTCAAACGGGAAAAGGAAATTGCAAGACGAGTGGAGTTTGATGGTTTATACATTGCGGAGACACCGGAAGAGGACGATATCAAAGCACATTGGGACAAGATGGTGATATCGGCAAAAACGTTCCCAGTTAATTATTGGGATAAATTTGTTAAGAAGAAAGTCAGGCAAAAGTACAGCGAGACTTATGATTTCGATTACATCAGCAACTTGCTTGGTATGGAGAAGACTTCGTTTAGCCAACAGGAAGAAGAAGGATCTGGTTTAGTTCACTTGTAAGTTTTCAATTGTATCAGTGCACTTATAGTTTTCTCACAATATTTTCATTTCTTGCAGCATTGTAAATATCGATTGGAGGTATCAAGTGTGGAAAGCTGGAGTCACCATTACGGACAACGTAAGTTCATTCATTCATCGATTTGTACGTTCATTTATCCGCATTAAACAGTTATTGAATTAAGAAATTATTAATATTCTTTTACAGGCGTTTTTGTACAGTCTTTGGTACTTCACGTTCTCGATTCTGGGAAATTATAACAACTTTTTCTTCGCTGCGCATTTGCTGGACGTAGCAGTTGGTTTCAAGACTCTGAGAACGATCTTACAATCGGTAACACACAATGGCAAGCAGCTGGTGCTGACAGTGATGCTGTTGACTATCGTCGTCTACATCTACACGGTCATAGCCTTCAACTTCTTCAGGAAATTCTATATCCAGGAAGAGGACGACGAAGTGGATAAGAAATGTCATGACATGCTGACAGTACGATCTTCAGATCTTTCATGATCTTCAATGTATTTCACATATTTTATATATCTTTTTGTTGACTTGTTTCAGTGCTTCGTGTTCCACTTGTACAAGGGTGTGAGAGCTGGTGGTGGTATCGGTGACGAGATTGGCGAACCAGATGGCGATGATTACGAAGTCTATCGTATCATGTTCGACATCACTTTCTTCTTCTTCGTCATCGTCATTTTATTAGCCATTATTCAAGGTAAGTAAAACCTTTAATGTCTTGGGACATTTTAATCCATTGCATTTGGCTATTACAGGTTTGATAATCGACGCGTTCGGTGAGCTTCGAGATCAGCTTGAGAACGTGAAAACGAACATGGAGAGCAACTGTTTCATCTGCGGTTTAGGGAAAGAGTACTTCGATACGGTACCTCACGGTTTCGATACGCACGTCCAACAGGAGCATAATCTTGCTAATTATATGTGAGTTATTAAAAAAATATCAAATCCCTTTAAACGAAGACGTCAATTAATTAATTGATCGTCGTGATTAAACTTTAGGTTCTTCCTCATGCACTTAATTAACAAACCGGACACGGAGTACACCGGCCAGGAAACGTACGTGTGGAACATGTACCAACAAAGATGTTGGGACTTCTTCCCAGTCGGTGACTGCTTCCGCAAACAGAACGAAGCGGTGGAGGAAGAAGCGAAGAAGAAATAAAAATATTTTTCAAATTCATCTCGTTTTACGTATAACGACCAAATCAATGGATTTGCCAAGGGAGATTAAATTTCCTAAAACGTCTTCGATAATCATAGTTTTCTAATTTCGAACGGGGAACGATGCATTAGGAACAATTGGACCGCGGATTTTACACATTTATAGAAAATATAAACAATGCGTCTAACGTGCAATAATATGCATCAGATACGTATAAAAAATTTGCATTTCATCTTTTTAAATTAACGAGAGTACGTATAAATGTAAGAAATATGAATTTACGTTTCACTTCAGAAATTGACATTAAAAGATTTTTGTTTTACATAAAAATCCGCGGTCTAAGAATCAATTTTCGATTTCAACTCTTAGGACGCTAACCACTTTCGCTCGTACATCGATAGATAAAGTTAGATGCGTGTGTACCTTCTACATTCGACATTTAATCGTTATTCCAAGTTTCACGCGAGTTACACGCGGCTAAAGCGTGGACGCGAGTGATATATTTTTCCAACTTTGTAAGGACGGCTGGATATCGTTTGATCAACAGTTCCCTCCTTAGATAGGTAATTCGTGATGCGTTGAAAAGAGGAACCGACTGCACAAATCTACCATAAAGATCGATTGCCTTTTTTTCATAGGTCGAACGACCAAACTTTGTGCATAATGATTTAACTCATTAATGTAATGTTTGAGATATTATATAAAAATATATATTATAAGAGTACTACGTAAGTTGATGATGTTTCAAAGTTTATATCGATTATTCAGGTTCCATGGCTACGTGGGAACTTTTTCAAATTTATTGACTATTGAAATCGCGAGCATAATCAAAAGTGTCAATACGTTGTACATAAATCTGCAAGATTACCTGGAATAAAGAAAGACATACTTCTGTACTTATGGTTTCCTATTATTACCCACCCTAATCATGGCCAATTAACTAATTCTTGAACTTTTAATTCAATTCCCACCATTTATCATAAATCACGCTTTCTCCGAAAAAAATGCAATCATTTTCTATTCAACGATTATCTAATTTTCATTTAATTCTCTCTAAAGTTTCTTATGAAAACTCAACTCTTCTAGTCAATAAAAAAGTGGGAGTGCTATTCAATCTCTAACGATTGATCGATCTAGATAAATAGGATGCAAACAAGGCTGCGGCCCATCAACTCTTTTTCTAGCTACTCAGACGCGATCGATGCGTCGCCGATTAACGAAAGGAGCAGCGTACACTTCTCGTCGAGTTCGTAAAACGGAAAGCAGTGATGATATGCTCGTAAAAGAAGGAGGGAAACAGGTCGCGCAGGCGCCCGGTCACGAAAGCTGGCGGTTAAGGGCCTCGGGGTGAAAATGCACCCTGGCATGGGAGTGTCAACGTGCGATCGTCGTTGCGGCGAAAATACAGCGATCCAGCCCAGGAACGGGGTCTGCGACAAGATCGAGAATTACATATCTGACTTAGGTCAATGGTACGTAGACCGAAAACGAAGGACCATCGAGTTTCATATTGAAAATGGGAAATCACCCTTGAACTGGCTGCACGGGCCGGGAGGAAAGGGTGCCTACGGGAAACTGGCGGGTGTTTACCAAGAATTTTCAGATGAAAACACGTCGTTAATCACAGTATTTTCGTGTTTGTGATCGATTTGCTCAAATTGTGCACACTTTAGTTAGATAAAGTATTGTGCGTAAAGTTGTTATCGGTGAATCGATCGATGATCGATGCGTGATTGAACTGATGTGTCAATCCAAGACTTGTAACTCATAGTTCGCAGTTATTAAATTTCATTTCCTAACGTGTGCTTGTATGTTTTTTTTTGGTCTTTTCTTTTGTTAATAGGTCAGTATGGAGAGCTATAATATTGGGGCAAACGCTGTCCCTGGTATTATGTTTGATGACTCTCGTAAATCATCACGTTAACACCGCGTACCACTTCGCCCACCCAACCGGTAAGTGATTAATCAACGATTGCATGGATAATTAAGTAGAGATTGGAGCTCGTCGGGGGTAATGCGTACGCCGGTTTCTTTGCGGGATAGGACAAAATCTCCCGCATTATGTTATGATGTGCCTTGTATACACAACCTGGATGTCCTGCAGAAGAGGGGTAGGGAACGGTCTAATGTCTGTCATAAAGGCTCGCGGCTGGAGGTACTTGCTGTTGGCTCTCATTGACGTCGAGGCGTGTACGCTCGTAACATCCTCGCATCAATTCACCAGCCTAACTAGCATACAGGTACGCGCTAATAATGTCACGCGATATCGGTCGCCTACTTCCACTTTAAAACGGAGGACTTTCATACAAATATTGTATGACACGAAACGCTTTGAAATAAAAATACTTCTCGCTTTTCCTTCATTTTTGCATCTCACTTCTCTATGCAATTTTCGCTCAAAGTTGCCGGTAAAGAATTCCATTGAAAGTTAAAATATAGTTTGATCACAGAGACGGTTTTGTAATAAAATGCAGATAAAATTTTGCACAATCTGCGCGTAGCTGTTGATGCTGTCTCGTTCAGTCGTCAATTAACTAGTACAGCGCTCAATGAATGGTACGGAAGTATCATTGTATAGGATATACGTTAGCATGAAAGGAGGACGCCGCGGCGCGTCGGGTCGACGACTCGATACATTCATAAATCACTATTATAAACCCAATTGCATTTTTATACGCACTTTCGTCGTTATCACCAAAATAGGATGAATCAATATGAAATACTATCCTTATTACCATTATCCTTTCATTATTGATTTTACTACAGACGAAATGTAATATCAATCATTACAATGAACATTGGATCAATTATCGCATAGATTATTATAATATGGAACGTTACATCAAATATTGTACTAAGCATTAAAACAATTATTATATGAAATATTTTATTGATTTTTATTGTAATATATAGGAAACGTTATATGTATAATGCAATTGGGTTATTGATTTTTTTTAATAATTGCACATACCTGAAATTCTGCTTCAGCTGCTCGATTGTGTGGCAATACCAGTTGCACTCGCGTTGTCCTGTTTGGTCCTGGGAGTGCGGTACCGCATGGTGCACATAGTCGGTGTTTCCGTTTGTTTGATGGGCGTTGGGTGTTTGGTCTGGGCAGGAATCGATGACAATAAAGATCCTATGTCCACAGGTGAATTTTTCACAGCTGCCTGTAAACAGATTTAGTTTATTTTTTAGAGTTTTAATTCAAATAAGATGAATATTCTTTTTACTTTTTGTGTTAATATTTGAAACTTGTAAGTCTTTCAATACTACATGTAATCGAATTGAGGTGGCTACCTCTTTTGCTAGAATACTTTCTGGTTCTCGTTATTGTTTATTATTTGCAAATTGCGTTAAATAGAATCAATGGATCATAATTATTAAATTCCAAACTGATTATTAAATTCTATAGGGAAAAATCAACTCGTTGGCGATATGCTATGCCTCGGTGGGGCGGTGCTGTTTTCGATAACCACGGTGCTACAAGAATTAGCTGTGAAGACAGTCGATATCATCGAGTACCTAGGCATGATCGGTTTCTACGGTACTATACTATGCTGCATGCAAACGTGAGTCTTTTGATAAAGAGAAGATATTGACTATTATGATCAATATCATTATCGTTCCAGAGCGGTGCTGGAGAATTTAAAGCTGGATACATTGGAAACGTGGAACAACGCACCGATAATCACGTATTTAGTGGTTTATTGCATCACTCAATTCGTGTTCTTCTCATTGGTGCCTGTTATTTTGTACGAATCTGGTGCGACTGCGTTGCAATTAGCATTGCTCACCGCAGATTCGTTTAACGCTTTATCTGGCATGCTGGTTCATCAGTACAAGGTATCTTATGTTTAATTCTTAAATTCATGCTATTATCTTTAATCGCGAAATTTATGTTGGTATAACATGCTCGTTCATTAATACAAAGTACATTCTTCTTAATTCTCGAATGCATGCCATTTTCTTCGCGAAGTAGAAGAAAAGCTTGTCTCTGCTGATAATCTAAATATCACACAATAGACTGTTTCATGCGGTTGTTTCGTCTGTTCCAGTTTCACGTATTGTACTTCGCCTCGTACACGCTCACAATGATGGGCATATACATTTACGCGATAAAGAGAACGCCGATGTCGTCGAACTCGCGAAGGCAACACGCACCAGAGCCCACTGCTCCAGATTACAGGTAACGTTCACAAAACATTTCACACCCATTTCCATTTGTTTAAAGTCGTTTGCTTAAGAAAACGTGAAGAAGGGTCAGTGGGTGGCACCCGCTCCGAGGCTATTCGCGTTTCCTCAGACATATTTTTCTCGTTTACTTGAATAAATATGAAAACACGAATAGCACGACCTATAAACCCTTTTTTATTCAATTTATTCGTCCAAATGAAAACATTTTCTCATTCAATCTTTATTCAAACTTTAGTTGAATTTCCTTGATAAGAAATTAATGTACAATTGACCGTGGATTAAAGTGACGTGATTTTAAGACATATGTCTCATCCCGACGGTGAGGTGGAGATGGTAACGAGCTCTGGGATGTCCGGAGTGAGTGGAACTCTGGACGCAAGGGCATCAACCCATAGCAGTGAGAAGGAAATTGATGGGAATTTACAACCAAGCGTTAGTTCGGACACAGCCTTCACCTCTTTTTACGGCAGTTACTACGATTAGGAGAAACCACGCGAAAGGAAAATTGCGTTGTTCACATTTTACATGAAATCTTTTGGAGTATTCGCACTACGCAGTCTGTCCGGAAATCATCACGACTTGTATCGTCACGATCTTAAGAGACCCGTGATTTTCAGCAGGTGAATCCATAATCCGAAATGAGAGGCGTAGGGAAAAGCAGGTAAAAGCTGCCTCACTGGGACCCGGCCAAGAGTACGGGTCAGATCCCTTGCTGTTGAAGGAGATGCGGTCAAGTCATTTGTAATTCATAAATAAAATCGATGACTTCTCGACAACGTGTTCCCTTGTCCAACAGGTACTTACAAAGATCTAAACAGCAGGGGATCTGACCCGTACTCTTAGCTCGGTCAAGTCTGTTCTACTATTACTTAAATAGACTGAAAAGATTAACAATTGTATCTTCCTTGGCAGAAAAGCAAAGCAAAAAAAGAAGAAACGCTTTTCATATTCATTCGCGTTAACTTTTTTTTGATGATAAATTATTAAAACGTGTTCTGAAAAATCTATGTATGAACGCGCAGTTTGTCGGTCAGGTTGGCGAGCAAGTAGAACACTTGGATTTTATGTGCGCTGGATCATTAAAATCAATTCTTTCAAGTAGATTTTCCGCGCTGCGCATTGTATGTATTTGTGCGCTGCCGATATTGCACAGATATTGTAGCTTACTTGGCACTCGCATTTCGCAATACAACAGCAGTGAATTGCTTGCTTTCAACTGCTGAAAATCACGGTTCTTCTGAGATAGTGATAATTTCCGAACAGACTTATGTGGATACTCCATCCGATTAATGGGAAACGCTCTTTCCACGTTCACATAAATAAGGATACATAGATCTTTCCAATAAATAAATTTGTAATACGTATTGCAGTGTTCCGAGCAGGATTTTTCTAAGAATTTAACCGTCTCGAATATCTTAGCTAACGAATGCGATCTTCGTTACTGATTTCAACGTTTAGCAGGATACATATGTAGATATAATTACTATAAATTCTTCTTGCTCAAGATGCTTTGTATAAACGAAGCGATACGATTAATTGTCACTAGATTTAAGGAAGACTAATTTCCTTGTAAAATACTAAGATGATAATTATTTTTTATTCTTGTTATTATACCTTTGTTGGACTGCGTTAGGCTGTTTATGTGATTCGCGCGTAAAACTATTGTTTCAACTGTTGTGTATATTTTCTTGAAGTAACCGAAATAAACTAACAGTAAACCAAAACTAATTTCCGTTTCTTTCGACCACACTGTTCACTTTTTATGACGGAGTGGATATTGAATATTGAAATTCGTTATTTATCACAATTCTGGCCTCGCCAAGATCACCACATCACCACGATCACCATCACATGTGCCATGCGTGCCATGCGCTATACGTTGACAAAGTGGCTAAGTGGCTACTTTTTATGTGTGACACGACATCTGTCGGCAGATAGTCTGAAGGAAGAACGCGTGGGTGAAGTCAGTGATGATGCCACAATGGCGGGCTCCATAGAGATCCCACTTCGTGACACAGACGAGGTGAATATTTCATTTTAGTTAACAATTTTCTTGATTTTTAACCATCGCAAGTAGTCCGTCCAATTCCTGTCACACATCCACTAGGTGAAACTTGAAATCCCGTAGACATCAGAGACAAGAGGATCCTCTCCACCAATCTAACCTCAGCAAGATGTGTTTGCGAACTAAATCATGCACACTACGTAGATATAGATGTACACACAACGTTTCCCAAACATGCTTCTAAATCTGTTCTACAAATGACAAATAAATTGCTGTCCTTTTACTCCTTTAATCGCATTGTTTTTTTAATCCAATAAGCTTACTTCCTTCCCATTGTCTTCAATATGTTGGACCCAGTACAATAAAATGTGTAACTAATTGTTTATTGAAACTACTAAATAAATTAAACTCTTTTACACTTTTCTCCCTTTTTAAATAGCTAACCGTAACACTGTTGTATCTACAATTTCCTTGTCATCTTGTTCTCAATTCCTTGAAATGCATTTTCTTAGGTAATCGACCTTGACCTCGATCAATTACCAGACGGTGATGAAGTTCTTAGCATTTTACGGCAAGAACATGCACAACTTAATATTTGGGTCAATTTGGCTGTACGTATTATAAACTAAATAAAAAAATGGTTACGGTAGACTAAGTAGGAGCTATTAGCTAAAAGATATATCTTCCTATTACAGCTTGAATTCTATAAGCAACACAAAATTGAAGACTTCATTAAGATACTTGAATCTTCTCGGATTGATGCTAATATTGATTACCGCGACTATGAGAAAGATCAGATGCGTGCGCTCGATATGTTGGCTGCATATTATGTGCAGGAAGCCAATAGGGAGAAGAATAAAGACAAGAAAAGAGATCTGTTTACTAAAGCAACTCTGCTGTATACAACAGCAGACAAGATCATCATGTACGACCAGGTATGTTTCGTAGTTATAAACTTTTCAACGCTATTTGTTATATTGTATGCGTATATTGATTTAATATTATGTGTTACAGAATCATCTACTTGGGAGAGCGTATTTCTGTCTCTTGGAAGGGGACAAAATGGACCAGGCTGACGCCCAATTTAATTTTGTACTAAATCAATCTCCGAATAATATACCCTCCCTCCTCGGCAAAGCATGTATAGCATTCAACAAGAAAGACTATAGAGGAGCACTTGCTTTTTATAAGAAAGCATTGAGAACAAATCCAAACTGTCCAGCTGCCGTAAGACTAGGAATGGGACACTGTTTCATGAAACTGAACAATCAGGAGAAGGCGCGTTTAGCATTTGAAAGAGCTTTGCAACTAGACGGCCAATGCGTTGGTGCATTGGTTGGTCTTTCAGTGTTGAAACTCAACCAACAACAGCCTGATAGTATCAGAACTGGAGTACAAATGTTGTCCAAAGCGTACACAATCGATTCGACGAATCCTATGGTGTTGAACCACTTGGCAAATCATTTCTTTTTTAAGAAGGATTACAACAAAGTGCAACACCTGGCGCTTCACGCGTTTCATAATACTGAGAACGAGGCTATGCGCGCCGAGAGCTGCTATCAATTAGCAAGAGCATTTCATGTTCAAGGGGATTACGATCAAGCCTTTCAATATTATTATCAGGCGACTCAATTCGCACCACCAGTTTTCGTATTGCCTCACTTTGGCTTGGGTCAGATGTACGTTTATCGCGGTGACGCAGAAAACGCGGCGCAGTGTTTCGAGAAAGTCTTGAAGGCTCAGCCGGGAAATTATGAAACGATGAAGATTCTTGGTTCGCTGTACGCGAATTCGACTTCGCAATCGAAACGAGATATCGCTAAGAACCACCTTTGGAAAGTGACCGAACAATTCCCAGACGACGTCGAGGCGTGGATCGAGCTGGCTCAAATATTGGAACAAAGTGACCTTAACGCAGCTTTAAACGCTTACGGTACTGCAACTAGGATTTTGAAGGAGAAAGTTCAGGCTGATATTCCGCCAGAGATTTTAAATAACGTTGGAGCTCTACATTATAGACTTGGAAATTTAGAGGAAGCTAGAAAAAATTTGGAAGAATCTCTGGCACGTTCTAAAGCCGATGCCTTACACGATGCTGTATACTACAACTCGATCGCTGTTACGACTACGTATAACTTGGCCCGTTTGAACGAAGCTTTGTGTATATTTGATAAGGCGGAGAAGTTATACAAAGATATTTTAAAGGAACATCCGAACTACGTAGATTGTTATCTACGACTTGGATGTATGGCTCGTGATAAAGGACAAATTTACGAAGCATCGGATTGGTTCAAGGATGCTTTGAGAATAAACATTGAACATCCGGACGCGTGGTCCCTTTTGGGTAATCTGCATTTAGCCAAAATGCAATGGGGACCAGGTCAAAAGAAATTCGAAAGGATTCTGAAGAACCCAACGACAAGCACCGATGCCTATTCGTTGATCGCCCTAGGCAACATTTGGTTGCAGACGTTGCACCAAAGTGGAAAGGATAAGGATAGAGAGAAGCGACATCAAGACAGAGCATTGACCATGTATAAACAAGTTTTACGGAACGATCCGAAGAATATTTGGGCGGCGAACGGGATCGGAGCTGTGTTAGCTCACAAGGGCTGTATAAACGAAGCGAGGGATATTTTCGCTCAGGTTCGAGAGGCAACTGCCGATTTTTGTGACGTCTGGCTAAACATTGCTCACATTTACGTCGAGCAGAAACAATACGTCAGTGCCATTCAGATGTACGAGAACTGTCTTCGGAAATTTTATAAATACCATCACGTCGAAGTGTTGCAATACATTGGGAGAGCTTATTTCAAAGCTGGCAAATTGAAAGAAGCAAAGTTGACGTTGTTAAAGGCGAGGAGGGTAGCCCCGCAGGATACTGTTTTGTTGTACAATATCGCGCTTGTGCTCCAACGTTTGGCAACGCAAATCTTGAAAGATGAAAAATCGACTTTGACTACGGTATTGCAAGCAGTTCACGAATTGGGACTTTCGCACAAATACTTCCAATACTTGTCGGCGCACGGAGATAGAATGGAACAACTTGCGGAAACCGAGGCAAGACGATGCCAAGATTTGTTATCGCAGGCGCAGTATCACGTCGCCAGAGCTAGGAGATTAGATGAAGAGGAAAAAATGCTCAGGAAGAAGCAAGAAGAAGAGAGGCAAGCGTTTAAAATGCGACAGACGGAAGAGCAACGAAAACTCGAAGAACTGCGGCGTCAGAAAGAGGAAGAGATGTTGCAGAAACGACAGGAATATGTTGAGAAGACGAAGAATGCTTTGGTGTTCGGTGAAATGCCTTCTGAGAAAACTGGACGGAAAGGAAAGAGGCCACGCACTGATCAGTACATTAGTGACAGCGGTGGTTCTGGCAGAGAAGAAGGTAGAGAAGAACCACCGAGAGAAAAGAAACGCAAGAGGAAAGCGAGTGGTGAACGAAAAGAGAAGAAAGGCAGAAGTAAAGGGAAACGCAGGAAGGACGGTGGAAGTGGAGAAAGTGGTACGTCGGCACTAACAAATCATGTTTAATTATTCAAATGATGGAAGTTGATTTTGATATGTTGTTTTATTGTTTTATTGTTTAGGTTCAGACAGCGACCGACCCAAACGGAAGCGTGGAAGGAAGATTAAAACTGGTAGAAAAGAGAAAGCATCGAGAAAAAGTACAAGTGAGACTTCAAAAGGCAAGATGCCCTTATCGAAAGAAACAATATCGACGAGTGAATCTGATAGTGATTCAGGAGGCCTCAAGATCGCCAGCGGGTAAATATCATTTTGTAAGATTAATAATATCTTATCGTAACTTATCAATGAATAATTATTGACCTCTTTTACAGTGGTGAAAGCGGTAACGAGGGTCGTGGACGCGGAAGCAGACGAATTATGTCAGACTCTGAAGGATCCCGAGGATCACGGTCTAGATCTCGTTCTAGGTCGAAATCCAGAAGTCGTTCAAGAAGTACCTCTCGTTCGCGTTCACGTTCGCGTTCACGCTCGCGTTCCCAGTCACGATCCTCTCGCTCGCGGTCTCGTTCTGGTTCAAAATCAAGGAGTGTATCGCGATCAAAAAGCAGGTCGAGATCGAGATCTGCTTCAGCGAAAAGTGAATCGCGATCGAGATCGGTCTCTAGGTCAAGATCAGGATCAAGAAAGAGTCAATCACGCTCGCCTAGCGGATCTAGAAAAAGTGGATCCCAACCGAGATCGAGATCGGGATCGAGAAAGAGTCATTCGCCATCACGATCCCGTAGTGGATCAAGACAAAGCGAGGTGCAAACAAGGTCTAGATCAGGCTCTAGAAATCAGTCGCGATCGAGGTCGCGCAGTGGATCAAGGAAAAGTGGATCGCAGCCAAGATCGAGATCAGGATCTCCGGCTAGCGCAGGATCAAGATCTAGATCTCCCAGCGGCTCTAGGAAGGCAGCGTCAAGATCAAGATCAAGGTCGGGATCGAGAAGCGGCTCGCAGTCGGACGAGCGTAAATCAAGAAGCAAGAGTCGTTCGAAATCTAAGTCTGTCTCAAGATCACGTTCGGGATCAAGATCAAAAAGCGGCTCTCGAAGTCGGAGTCCTAGTGAATCGGCGCGGTAAGTTAAAAAACGAGTTCGTAGAACTTCATGAAACACATTTTTTAAATATGCACGAGGAGTCAGTAAGAAGAATCATTTAAAATTATTTATTAATCTTTGATTTCATTATAAACTCTGATGTCAGAAGGATACGTTTGTTTCCATTATACAATGAAATCATGCACAGCATGCTTCGATAAAATCATTAAGTAATAAGTTATTGTATATGATGTTTCTTATTGACTCAATTAAATCAATTAAATAACTTTGTAGTAATCCTTAAACATGTACAAAATAATGATAAAATGGTGTCACGCGACAGTAAAGTGAAAAGTCATGATAGATCGCAGTAATAATATATAAATTGAAAAATAAGCGAGCTATATCAAAATGTGCATACCGAAACGAAGTGCAGCTGCGTTTATTCCCGCAATTCTGTTGCAGATCGGCCACTCCAGAATCCAGAAAATCAGTCTCAGGTAGCGAGGTCGGATCCCGGCATTCGAGCACGGACCGGGGTGGTGGAAGCGACAGCGAATAGGTTTAATATTCGAAAGTTCACTATGAACGCGTGCAAACACTTCACTCCAATTACAGTCACACTTCGTTTTGTAAACTTCGAATTTACATATGAAACAGATACGAATTTTGCGATACTATCGTTTAAAACACAAAGTGTCGTTCAAACTGGAACTGACCGAACTGTTACGTCAATATGGCGCGGAAGAAGTGCGATCTATCGTTTCGATACTCGATCAATAGTTTCGATTTTCGATCTCGCTGATGGTGGGGACACATTCGATTTGGAATGGAGTATGTAATAGTCTGCACGTTGAAACGAGTCGAAGTAGTCGCATTTAATTTCCATCTGTTTGTGATTTTTATTAGTTTTAGTTTGGACGGCTACTTACATGTGTTTATTCTTCTATTCCTCAAAGTATGTTTAAGAAGTATTACATCAAGAAGGTATGTAGTTGTATTTTTAAAGTTACAAAGATTTCATATGTAAACTAGTTCAGATTTTAAGAAACTTTACGTGTCTATTAATAGTTGATTTATCAGTGGTCATTTGTATGATAAATAGTTTCTATTAATTTCGAAAGTTATTGAAGGAGAAGGTAATATATCATTAATTTGAGTTATATAAATTATGATTATAATGACACGATGGCAGAGTATATTAAGGTTGTGTTGACAACGAACGAATCATTTTATATCGAAAACCGCAAATAAAAATTATTAGGAACCTATATTTGTTTCGATTTACGTTCGTATTAATGGCAACCATTCATATTGAACGAATAATTATACTTGTAAATAACTGACAGTGCATTCTCGTTATATTGAAGGCTAGTGACATCTACGGCGCCAATATTTAACATAATTTAGAAGTATTTTACACTCCAAGAATAATGATTTATAAATATGCATGTATGATGTGTGTTCTCGCACAATACTTATTCTTTATTAGTTTTTCAAATTTCGC